GGGGGGAGGGGGGAGGGAGGGAGAGAGGGAGAGAGGGAGGAGAAAAATCAAATCAAATTGAACAGGACAGAATGGAACAGAACAGAATAGTTATAACACTTTCCATTCCCTGATCCCATTCAACTCAGCTTAAGGCTCAAGAGCCAAGTACAAGAAAAGGCAGTGGTAGCCGCCATCGAGCTGTTATGACATGTGGTGATGGCAGTGGCAGCCGCCATCGAGCTGTTATGGCATGTGGTGATGGCTAGGTCTTTTCACGGCTGCCACCCAACATAAGCCTCACAAAGAGTGAGGCAGGCAGGGGCCATAATGCCCAACGCCCAGCTAAGAAGGCAGGATCATTATTCCTTCGCGTCTTGGCAGTGCATTTAATGGGTAAAGGGTAAAGAAAGAGCCCTACGCCCCTAGCTTGTCCGCCGATCTTCCCTAGATAGCCATGATTTTATACCACACCCAACTTACAGGCAAAGATGTGTAGTCAGCATTCCCATCTCCTTGGGCTTCGCCTGGGAATCACGGATTGAAAACAGTCAGGGAGGGAAAACGCACCTGTATTGAACATGTACAGACTATGTCACCTGTCATTATTTCCTAAACAATGCAGTGTCCCAAATATTCGCATGACATTTCCACTGCATCCGATAGTCTAGGTAATCAGTACCGAGAGGAGGGTGTGCAGAAGCAATGTGCAGATGCTCACCCTTTTGCCTAAGGGTCTTGAGCATCCATGGCTTTGGAACTGGTGAGAGATGTCTGTCTTCCATTTTGCCTCCCTCTGGGTTGCAGATATTATGCAGAAAACTCCAGTGGTCATTGTAAGAAATGCGACAAGAGATGCAAGACCTGCGGGGGCCCGCAGCCCACAGACTGTCTGTCGTGTGACAAGTATTTCTTCCTACTCCGCTCCAAGGGGCAGTGTTACCGCACCTGCCCCCAGCATTACCACGCAGAGCCACGCACTCAGACCTGTGAGAGATGCCATCCGACTTGCAACGAATGCAAAGGCGAGAGGGGAGGGGGCTCTGTGGGCTGGCGTGGGGCTAGTGGGAAATGGAAAGCTTTCCTCCCTGCTTCTCCCTCTCCCCCTCCCCCGCCCCCTTCAGCGGCTCAGAACTGCTCAGCAGCTCTGTCTTCTCCAGCGGTACCTGCCCACGAGAGTCCGTCCACTGCCATCCATGCCAGGCTTCCCAAAGACCTTTGCCTCCCCGATCTCTCCAGTTCTCCCTTCCCTCCATTTTCTGAACTCAGCATCTATCAGATCTGTTGAAGTAGCCAGCAGGTCACCCCAACCCCTTGTTCCCTGTCCCAGGGCACCCTGCACCTGAATGCCAGAGTGAGCTTCCTAAAATTCAGATTTGCTCATTTGTTCTATGCCTTGCTGTATAACAAGATGAACACGAGTTCCCTCCCACCTTAGGCTAGACACAAGGGATGGAGTTCTTGTGTTGGGCTAAGGAGTGAGGATGGTGAAAAGAATCAGGAGAGGGCTGGGACGGTGCCTCAGTGGTAGAGCGCTTGCCTTGCACGCATGAGGCCCTGGGTTTGATTCCTCAGCACCACATAAGCAAAAAGAAAAAAGCTAGAAGTGGCGCTGTGGCTCAAGTGGTAGAGCTGAAGAGCTGAGGGACAGCGCCCAAGCCCAGAGTTCAGGCCCCACAACTGAACTGGAAGTTAGAGCTAAATGATAAACCCACATGAAAACATATAGAAAATGAACCAGGAAGAATTTGGCAGCCTAAATAAGCAATTTGCCAATTAAATTGTGTTTCACTGACTTTTGATGTCCCCCCCCCAAAAAAGAAGTAATCCATCCAAGCACTGGTGGCTCACTCTTGTAACCCTAGTTTCTCAGGAGGCTGAGATCTGAGGACCACGGTTCAAAGCCAGCCACACAAGAAAGCCTGTGAGCCTCTTAGTTGTGAAGTGTGACTAAGCACCCTGCATAAGTGTGACTAAGACTTCAGAACAACTCACAACTCACAATCCACAGCCATTCCCATTGCTCTCACTCCCCTGTTTGGAAATTTTCAGTGAAAATGCCAGGGCCTTCCACATAAAATGAACTAGAGTTCAAGTCTTCTGACTCCAAATTCCTTCCAGAAACTACCCCCTCACTCCTGCCCAGAAGAAGATGCAGTTTCTTCCCTGACGTAGAAGAAACTATCATCAGGGAAGAAACTATCCATAGATTCAGAATTCCTCCCATTTGGTGGTTCATGTGTCCAAATCATGTGGTAGAAAAAGCCCTTGGAAAGCTGGGCACTGGTGGCTCACGCCTGTCATCCTAGCTACTCAGGAGGCTGAGATCTGAGGATCAAGGTTTAAAGCCAGCCTGGGCTGGAAACTCCATGAGATTCTTATCTCCAATTAACCACTCAGAAAACCAGAAGTGGCACTGCAGCTCAAGTGGTAGAGCACTAACCTTGAGCTGAAGAGCTGAGGGACAGCATAGTGCCCAGAGTTCAAGCCCCGTGACTGACCAAAAGAAAAAGCCCTTGACTATGAGTCAATGAACCTGAATGTGAAGCTTGACTTATTACTTAGGTAAACTTAGATGAGTGACTTTGCAATATTTTTATATATTACCTATTATACTACATACACACTATATAATAATTCTATATTAACTATATATTGTACATATTATATAAACTTTATGTAATATGTTATTGTAATATAATAATAATATATTAAATATAACAAATACACATACATACCAATACATAGGATGTCAAATTTCTGAGAAAATGCTTTATAGTTCTGAAGAGTTTTAAAAGAATCTATGATAACCACCATCACCATCACCACTCCCAAAATTAAAGAGCCACAGATAAAATGATCTCCAAAATCTTTTTCTCCCTCAAACTTCAAATCCCAAGTGCAGTGCTCTGTCTCAGGAGGGACAGTGTGCCTGCGACTCATCTACCCTGAGCTGCACAGCCTCCAAAACAGCCTGCCAGGTCCCACTCCAGCTCAGCAACAAGCAGGACAAATACACGTTCTGTAACTGCCCTCTGATTTCTCTTGTCTCTTGCTCTAATACAAGATATGTCTTCCCTGAATCCTCAATTCCACTCTCAGAGTCGACACAGATCAGATTAATTAGATAATTTGCAGGACTCCACTCTGTCTTACAGACCTTCATCTTTTTTGTTTTCAAATCTTCAATTTACCCATCTGCTTCAAGTTACTTGACATACTCCTTTTCTCTAAGGGATCTGGATCCTACCAAGACAGAGGCTGAAAGCTGAGGTCTGTTTTATAACTTGGAAATTTCCTTTTTTTTTTCTTTCAGGAACACGAGCGTCAGATTGCGTGTCTTGCGTGTGGAGTTACCACCTCATGGGAGGAATCTGCAATTCGGACTGTTTGCTGGGGGAGTACCGCGTGGGAGAGGTACTGAGGGCTGAGCTGGGCACCTTCCCCCCTCCCAGAGAAAAATATCAACTCTGTTCCCATAGTGTCCTGGACCGTCAAAAACACCTGAATTCCCACCCTCACTACAACTTCAGTTTAATGCCTTAAAATCATCTTCTCTTACATCAGGAAGGAATGATGCTGCCTGCCTGCAGCCTTCCTTTGAAGGACAGGAACAGAGGCAATCTAAGATAGACAATGGGGAAGTTCTAAGGGCCCCCGAGGAGCCTGGTGATGGTTGTCCAGGATGCTAGCAGTTTCTATCTGTGTTGGAAATAAAAGCTGTCTTCTCTCTTCTTCTTGGTTCTGTAGCTGGAAACCTCTGACTGAGTACATATAGGAGAAACACGTTGATTTTGATCTTTCATTTTTCTCCATCTCTTCTTTACAATATAGTTAGAACTTATTTGCTTGAAGAGATACCATAGGTTTTCTGAATCTATCCATGTCTCTTTTGCTTGTTTGTTTGTTTTTGTTGAGGTAGGATTACTCTATGGTACCCAGGCTGGCTTCTCATGTTCCATCACACCCAACTTCTACTCATTCCTCAAGAAAGAAAGAAAGAAAGAAACCCTAAATGTCTCATGGTGAAATTAAAGCAAACTAGCTTATTCACATTTAAGCTCTCTTTAAATTACAGTTTGGAGTAACAGGCTCAGCGAGGTTAAATAATTTGCTAAAGATCACATGAGTAGTATGATAAAGTTCAAACTGAACTCTGGGGATCTGATGATATACAAACAATGGAGAAAACAGAGCAACAGTGTTGAAAATATGATGAGTTCCTCACCAAAGGCAATTTCCATCTCTCATCTTTTTAAAAATCTCTCCTCTCTTTGTCTCTGTATGTTTCTCTCTCTCCCTCTCTCCCTCCCTCTCTGTCTTTCTCTCTGTCTCTCTCTCTGTCTCTCTCTGTCTCTGCCTCTCTCTGTCTCTGTCTCTCTGTCTCTCTGACTCTGTCTCTGTCTCTCTGCTCTCTCTCTTCCTCTCTTCCTCCCTCCCAATCTATCTGTCTTTTGTTTGGGGCACTAAGGTATCAAACATGGCTTCTCACAGACTAGACACGTACTTTCACAATGAGCTATGATCCTTGACTCTATTCTTTCTTCTGTTTTACCATACTTTGAAAGTTACAGGAGTACAATAGAAGGTATCTTCCCTGCCCATATTTCCAGCCCCTGACAAGAAGCAATTCGTTGAGAAGCTTTTTTTTTAATCGTTTACATCTCTGGCCTAAACTGCTTTAACTACAGTCAACATTTATATCATTCCTTTTCCAGTCCACGAGAATCTAGTAACCCCAAAGGCTGCAACAGGTAGCTAGCATAAATGAGCAAGGGATGCTGGGTAAGAGGAACTACAGCGCAAGATCAGTAGAAAATAGAAACTGACCTGCCACCTGTGTGCTGGTGACAACAAGAGCAGGAAATTACATCACCTAAGAGAGCTTAACGGGTCCATTGCCACTGGGATGGTGGTGAGTGATCCATCAGTGTGGACGAGGCTCCTCAATTTCACACAGAAATTAGGAACTGACTTTAAGATAACAGATTGAAAATGAAAACCTATCTAGAGTGGAGCAGGCAAAACCAGTGACCAACGTGAACCATCCCTGAGCACGGGAGCTCTCCCGTTCATTAACAAAGCGATTCTGGAAGCCTGGTCTCTAGCAGATCTTAAAGGTCAGAGTCCAGCAGTGGTTCTGAAACTCATTTGCACACGGTTGGCTCTGTCTCTCACCCAGCACAGTTAAAGGGACCCCCCCCCATATGCCATCTTTCCCCTGTCCTGCCCCACCTGCCTCCTGGGTTCCAGAGACAAGATAAATCCCCACTTGGAAACTCCAGTGCCTTGATCATCCCTCCAAAGTTCTTCCTGACCGTTGTTCACAGGGAGAAAATTTCAGTTGTGAAGCCTGCCACGAGAGCTGCACGGAGTGCAAGGGGCCTGGCCCCAGGAACTGTACCGGGTGCCCCGCCGGCCTGCTGCTGCACCTGGACCACAGCCGCTGCCTCAGCTGCTGCAGCGCTGCCAGACCCACGGACCCCCAGGACTGCTGCGACTGCCAGGAGACCACGGGTGGGTGAGGCTCCGGGAGAGGCAGAGCAGGAGCAATGCCGCAGCAGGCAGAGGAGGACAGAAAGCTCAGGAGACCCCACATGGCTACCTGTCAGCTGAGTGCCTACTAGAAGCCTCATTCCGTCACCCCAGGTGGCAAGTGTGTTAGGTCCTTGTTGATATAATGACTACCAGAGAGGAATGTTAGAGGAGGAAAGGGTTGTCTGGGCTGATGGGTTCAGAGCTTTTGATTCCATTGTTTCTAGACCAGTGAGACAGAGCATCCTGGATAGAAGCAGGTGGTGGAGTAAAGCCGCTCACCGCATGGTGGGGACAGGGGACAGAGCCCGCCCCCCCGGTGTCACTCTCCCCCAATGAGGAACTCACTTCCTATTTTCTAGTTCCAGCAACTAGAAACCAAATTCCAGCACTTGAGCATTCAGACTGGAGCATAAGTACATCCCATTTTGCAGACGAAACTGAGGCTCAGAGTTGGATTTGTGTAGCCAAGTCCACCTCCGTGTTAAGAAGTCCCTGTGTAATTTAGCATCTGGGTCCGTCGTACAGCAAAGCTCACGTCCTCTCTACTGCCACCCCTCAAGTAGGAGTAGAACGTGACATTCACAAATTCACTTTATTCCTCTTTTATTCTTCCCCCCTGGAGGAAGGAAGAAAAAGAAGTAGGATCAATTAAGCTGAAGCCAATATTTCTCTTTCTATAGAAGCAAACCCAAGTCTTTTCCTTTTATTAGAAAGGAAAAGAATTGAAGAATGAATTTCCACTGAAGGCTAAGAAAAAAAGTGTGTGTGTGTGAGAGAGAGAGAGAGAGAAAGAGAGAGAGAGAGGAGAGAGGAGAGAGAGCACCAGCCCAGGAGCTAGAACTCAGGGACTAGATGCTTGCTGTCCCTGAGCTTTTCTTGCTCAAGTCTAGAGCTTCCCTTCTGGATTTTTGTGGTTAACTGGAGTCTGACCAACTTTTCTCACCCAGGCTGGCTTCAAACCACAGTCCTCAGATCCCACCCTCCTCAGTAGCTAGGATTATAGGTATGAGCCACCAGCATCTGGCTGAAAAACACAATCTTTTTTTTATTTGTTATTACAAAGGTGATATACAGAGCACTTACAGTTACATAAGTCAGGTAAAGAATACATTTCTTTTTGGACAATGTCACTCCTTCCCTAGCTCCCTCTGTTTTCCCCTCCCATCCCCCCACCACAAGTTATATAGTTCATTTTCAATGGAAAGTCTAGTAAATACCATTGCTTCATTTGTCTTCCCTTTGTCCCTCCATTTCTGTGCCCCCTTAACCCTCCCAAAGACAGATAGATGAACACACAAGACAGAAAGAAAAGAAAGCAACAGCAACAACAACAAAAAAAACACTTGTGAAAAGCACATTCTTAAATTTTATTCTCTAGTACAGACAGAGAGACCATTTCCTTGGATTCTACATGAATCATTGCCTGATAAAAATGATGTCATATTTGTGGGACTATAACCCTGTGTAAGTTAAAAAAAGAAAGAAAGAAAGAAAGAAAGAAAGAAAGAAAGAAAGAAAGAAAGAAAGAAAGAAAGACCCAAAACTGCCACCAGCCATTTTAAAAGTTTTGGTCATCCTCTTCAATTAGGTTCCAAATACCATCTTTCCCAAAACTAATTCCTTCTTCAACTCTCTGCCACCACCCCTGGTGCTGGTTCCCCAGCTCTACACAGACACACACACACACACACACACACACACACACACACACACACACACCTTCAAGGTCTAATGGCTTAGCATCTATGCTGTGTCCTTTAAGAATAATGACTCTCATTTTATCAATGGCTTAAATTCAGAAGCGTGTGCATGTGGGGTGCTAAGTTTCTGAAAATCTGTTCCAACAAAGAACTCCTCAGGTAATCTTTCTAGAAAAACTCAAACATGCTTGAGCCAGGGCTGTCGCTCAGCGTCATCCAGCTGATGCTTACCAGCTCTCTTGCTCCTTCACTTCTTCCCAACTGAGATGATCTGTTCCTTCAAGGACACAAGGTAGCAAGGCTGACCCTGATTTTGCAGTGCAATAGGAGGAATATTAAATCAATAAATGGCACCTTTCTCAGTGAAATACCCTTGAAAGGTCTCATATTGATTCTCCTACTTCGGGCAGTATTTATATCAGAGTACCACACTCTTATTGCTTATCTATCCCTGTAGGGCCTTAACAATTCCTTCAGGGAAAATTCTGTGCTAATATTAGTATTGATGAATGCAATCATGACAGTACTGTTACTAGAGAGAAGGAACTTCAGTAATGTAAGGAGCAAAATCCCATGATAATGAATCAAACTGAAAAAAAAATGTGTGTAGAAATAGCAATAATGAGAGAGAGAAAGGCAAGGGAAGGGGTGATATTCTCCAAAAAGAAATGTACTCTTTGCCTAATTTATGTAACTAACCCCTTTGTACATCACCTTTATAATAACAATAAAAAATTAAATTAAAAAGAGAATCACTAGGACGTATGTAGCTCAGTGTTAGTCTTCGTCTAGCATATATGAGATCCTGGGTTCAAGCCCCAGCCTGACAGAGAGCAGAGGGGGAGGATGTTTAGCACTTAAGAATTAGACCTAAAGAAAAGGAAACAGACATACAAGGAAATAAAATGGGATCAATTTCCCAAGTTGCACCACCAAAATGAACGAGCGCAAAGTAAGAAAAATGAGCTCTTTACTCAAGTTACGGTTTAATCCTTTGGTCACACTGCTTAGTTTCTCCATGTCCTCAGTCACAGCACTGAAGCCGAGGTTGATTGGATGAGAACAGGAAAAAAAACTGTCCATTATGATTGAAGAAATCCCCATCACTACAGGTAGTAATCAGCATTTAAACATGGTCAGTACTCTCTTTCCTGCCAGGGAGGGTCATAAAACTCGAAGAAACCAATGTACAATTGTCAGAACATTTTGTCCTTGTGTCTCTAGGTTGTTAAATGGAGTTAGGGATGATAGATTGGAATTTCCAGTTGTTCCACAAATCAGATCTTGTCTTTGCCAAAGAGACACCTCCCTTCCTCTCCATAGGCCTTAGTTTCTTCAACTGTCAAAGAGTAGGTTAGCCTGAATAATGTCTAAAGCCTCATATGACTGCGAAACTAGTCTCTCCTGTCCTTAGAGGATGGAACAGTTATTTGGGTCAGGCTTAAGAGTAACTCTAAAGCCTCAATCTTAGAAAAGCTCAGGGTTGCATGTAAAACCAGCTAACGCAGCCAGGAGCAGGAGCCAGTGGCTCACACCTCTAATCCTAGCTATTCAGGGGGCTGAAATCTGAGGCAGGGAAGACCTTGAGACTCTTATCTCTAATAAAGTAATAAAAGAGCAGGATGTGGAGCTGTGGCTCAAGTGGTAGAGCACTAGACTTGAGCAAAAAAGCTGGGGGATAGCATCCAGACCCTGATTTCAAACCACACACACACACACACACACACACACACACACACACACAGAGCGCAAGCAGGGTTGGAGCTGTGGCTCTAGTATTGGAGCACCAGCCAATGAACAAAAGCTTCAGATACTGAGTCTGAGTCCTGGTCCTGGACAAATGCATATGTGTGTGTGTGTGTGTGTGTGTGTGTGTGTGTGTGTGTGTGTGTGTGTGTGTGTGTAGCTCAAGCAAGGCCCAAGTTTAACTATGTTCTCAGGATGTGAATAGGAAGAAAAAGCAGTTGATAAGTGGACACTTGCAAACTGACCCATGAGTTACAGAACTGCAAGGACTCCCTTTGGATCTCAAACCTGCCTTCTTCCTAGAATTTTCAGTTTTATCAGTCTTAGACTGGGACTCCATGGAGGTATATAGCACAGTGTTAGACAATGCTGAACACTTTAGAAAACCAGAGACAGTGGACTCTACTATGTGAGGTACAAAAAGCAGAAGTGAAGTTCTTCACCTCAGAAGCGACTGCTCCCAATCTGTGTCTTCCTCTCTCTCTCCCTCCCTCCCCACATCAGAGGAGTGCATCCTGCCAGCAGGGAAGGCCAGGCCTGCGGCTGAGCGTTCCAAGACGGCCCTGCTGGTCACCTCCTCCCTCATGCTGCTGCTCCTGCTGGGGGCCTCGGTGGTTCTCTGGAGGAAGCCCTGGAGCCGAGTCCAGCCGGTAGAAAAGGCGGGCTATGAAAAGCTGTCTAACCCTAGCCCGCCTCACTCTTCCTACAAGAGCAGCTATCTCCAGAGCACCAGCTTTGAAGACCAGGTGATCGAGTACAGGGACCGGGACTATGATGAGGATGACGAAGATGACATTGTCTACATGGGCCAAGATGGCACTGTCTACCGGAAGTTTAAGTATGGGCTGCTGGATGACGAGGAGGAGGGCGAGCTGGAATATGATGATGAGAGTTACTCCTACTCGTGAACAGGCCCCCCGCCCCCACCCCCACCCCACCCCCACCCCAGCCCCTACCTCTCCCTCCCCACCAAAACGGGTTTGGGTTTTATCCACATACCAGGCTAATGTGTGAGTTTTGTGTCTGTCTTAACCATAAATCCGACAAGAAGATAGAAGAACTGTAACCACTTGCATGCTTCTTCTGAATGGCTAAGGTCAATGAACAGTTTCTGCCCAAATATAATTCAGGAGCAATAATGAAATCCAGCCAGAGTCTGGAGACTCAGTTTGTAATCCCAGTTGCTCAGGAGGCTGCGATCTGAGGGCCACAGTGGAAGCCCACCCAGGCAAGAAAAGTCTGTGACTCTAAGCTCCAATTAATTACTAGAAAAAGTAATTCAGAAGTAGAGGTGTGGCTCAAGCGGTAGAGAAAAAGATAAAGGACAGTGCCTAGGCCCAGTGTTCAGGTCCCACTATGGACACAAAACTAAAAATTAAAATTAAAAAGAATGAAATTAGCCAGGCACCAGTGGTTCATGCCTATTAATCCTAGCTACTCAGGAAGCTGAGAGCTGAGGATCAAGTTTGAAGCCAGCCCAGTCAGGACAGTCCATGAGACTCTTACCTACAATAAACTACTTAGAAAAATCCAGAGGTGACTCTGTGGCTTCAGTGGTAGAACACTAGCCTTAAGCACAAAGTGCTAAGCAGGAGGAGGAGAAGAATTCCAAAAAGTGATGGTGGTGATGGTGATGATCAGAGTAAGATTTCGTTTATACCTGCTAGGTATCAGGTACTTAGCTCAGAAACTCCGGTTTAAAAAGTTGTCTAAATTACCTACTTCATAGTCAACCACAACTCCCCGGAATTGGTTTTGTTATTCCTATAGGAAACCTGAGTTCTACAAGAGGCTGGGTCTGTAACTGCAGGCTACAGAGAGCTAATGAAGACTCAAGGAATACGAATGACCTTATTACCTATGTTGTGGGGGGGGGGGGAGTGTGTTTAACACCCATGTTCTTGATTGCCATGATCCTCTGAGATAGAGTGGGAGAATAAACATCCAAAATACAGAAACAGTATGCCAGTTGTTTTATTCTATTTTATAAGGTTCCTAGAAAGAATTATGTTTACTATGTTTCTATGTGTGTGTACATTTAAAACACGGTGTTTACTCACACAAGAACTCTCCATCCTTGTCTTTCTTTAGATGATAGGTCTTAAAACAAGGACCAGCAAATATTTTCTGGGAAGAGCCAGATTTTCATAAATACCTCAGGTTTTGTGGGATGGAAAGTCTCTGTTATAGTTACTCAGCTCTCCTATGGTGGCAAGAACCCAGCCAATATAAAATGCATGAGTAAGCTGTGTTCCAATAAAACTTTATTTATAGACATTGACATTTGAACTCTAAAGAATGGTTATATATCATTCCCCCAAGATTTTTTTTTTTTTGGTTGTGGTGCTTGAACTCTGGGCCTGGGCGCTGTCCCTCAACTCTTCAGCTCAAGGCTAGTGCTCTACCACTGGAGCCACAGCACCACTTCCAGCTTTATCTGCTTATGGGGTGCTGAGGAATCCAACCAGGGCCACATGCATGTGAGGCGAGCACTCTATCACGGAGCCACCTTCCCAGACCCTCTCCTGACGATTTTAAATTTTCAAAACTGTTCTTGGTTCACAGATGCATAAGAGGTGATGGGGCCAATTTGACCAATGAGCTGTTCTGCTAATCTTCTTTTACAAAAGCTGCTCAGTAACCATGGGAATTCACAATATCATATGATATGCTTCCCAGATTTTTGACACTTAAAATCATTTTCAAAATCCATGTATAGCCCTGATAGTTCACTTAAAATTCTTAAAAATATAATATATATGTAATATCCATGATCTTTGTACAAACAGAGTTCAGCCTACAGAAACAAATGATTTTGTTTATTCTGTGTTGATCATCTTTCTTGATCTTCTTCTCTTTCTCTCTCTGTGTGTGTGTGTGTGTGTGTGTGTGTGTGTGTGTGTGTGTCTATGTATGTTGGTACTGCGTCTTGAACACAGCTGGTTGCTGCCCCTTAGCTTTTTCTTCTTAATGAGCCACAGCTCCACCTCTAGCTTTTATGGTGGTTAATTAGAGTCTCATGCCCAGGCTGAGCTTTGAGCCATGATCCTTACCTCTTAGCCTTCTAGGTAGCTAAAAGACCAGGCATAAGCCAGCAGCACTAGCATCCAGGTTGATCATTAAGAGATTTTTTTAATTATCTTTGAGTAGTTGTACAAAAGGGTTTCAGTGCAACATGTCAGTTTATGAGTACAATGCACTTTGATCAATGTCACCCACTTAATCATTTTTTAAACACACTGAGGCTGACATTTCTTTCTGTAGCCTAGAAAAACTGTGTTTATGATGCAGTTAAAAATGGAATAAGGTCGAGGTGACCTGAAGCACTATGAACAATGCTATTCTTGCTCTGTGTGACTTGTATTGAAAAGAAACCTTGTATTCATGCATTGGTAAGCCTGATACTTTTTCTTCTTTCTTCTTGCCACATTATTCTCACACTTCTTTTAAGTTCCATGCTAACAAATTTTTTCATAGACAAACATGTGTTGGAAAAGTAAGTTGCTTTTTGGTTTTCTGTCTGCAAAGAACTTGGAAATATTAAGAGAATCCCTGCAGGGTAGAAATTAGCAAGGGGCTTAGGAGTTCTGGTTCATAGGAGGAAGCTGGAAGTTGGAAGTAAAATTACATCAAATTCAGGACCAGATAATGGTATGAAAATGTGCATCTTCTGAGCATTTTTATGGGCTTAGTCTTAAGCTTTATCCAGTAAGAGATGCCAACAATTAGAGATTTTCCTCCTTTTTATCTCTCTGTATCCAGTGACATGAAAGTCTTATCAATTACAAATTTTCTCTCTTAAAGGCAATCAAAACCCAGCCACACCTGTCATTTTAGTTACTTAACAGGCTGAAATCTTAGAGTTGTGGTTCAAAGTCAGACTGGGCAGGAAAGTCTGTAAGACTCCTACCGCCTATTAATCACCAAAAAGCAGGAAGTGGAACTATGACTCAAATGGTACAGTGCCAGGGAGAGAGAGGGAGGGAGAGGGAGGAAGGGGGAGGGAGAGAGGGAGAGAGAAAGGGAGAGAAAGAGGAGAGAGAGAGAGGGAGAGTGACAGGAAGAGGGAGAGAGAGAAGAGAGAGGGAGAGAGAAAGGGAGAGAAAGAGAGAGGGAGAGTGACAGGAAGAGGGAGAGAGAGAAGAGAGAGGGAGAGAGAAAGGGAGAGAAAGAGGAGAGAGAAGAGAGGGAGAGAGAGAGGGAGAGAAAGAGCAGAGAGAGAGGGAGAGAAAGAGGAGAGAGAGGAAGAGAGAGGGAGGGAGAGGAAGAGGCAGAGGGAGAGACAGGAAGGGAGGCAGAGAGAGAGCGGTCCCTCCCAACGGCAACCAATGCATCTTTCAGCACTCGGAAACTGAGACAGGATGGAGTTCAGGGGCAGCCTGGATTACATAGTAAAACTGTAGCAAAAGAGCAAAAGCCAAATCCTATTGGATCACCTCAGCCAGGCTCCCTGTCACTCACCCCTACCCGAATTACCACAGACAGCGCCTGCCACGTGTGGTGTGAACACTGCACTCTCTCCAAACTGCGCTCCTCCTATTCCCCAGCTCCTCCAAGTCCCCAGCTCCTCCTGTTCCCCAGCTCCTCCTGTTCCCCAGCTCCTCCTATTCCCCAGCTCCTCCTGTTCCCCAGCTCCTCCTATTCCCCAGCTCCTCCTGTTCCCCCAGCTCCTCTATTCCCCAGCTCCTCCTGTTCCCCAGCTCCTCCAAGTCCCCAGCTCCTCCTATTCCCCAGCTCCTCCTGTTCCCCCAGCTCCTCCTATTCCCCAGCTCCTCCTGTTCCCCAGCTTCTCCTATTCCCCAGCTCTTCCTAGTCTCCAGCTCCTCCTGTTCCCCAGCTCCTCCTTGGGAACATATTGTTCACTATCCTGGGAAGTTTTGTCCCCCAACTTGGAGTAGCTGGAAAATTCCTGCCCATCCTTGAAAATCCCTGTTCCCAGCACTCAGGTTGACTGGTCCTGGATCCTCCCAATTTTCACTTCCTGCCTGGCATGGATGACAGCGTCTTTCACTGTGCTGGAGTCTTGGGGACTTTTCAACACAGCTTGGCCTTGGAACGTCAACCCTTTCAATCACAGTCCACCACACAGCACGGATGACAGGCATGAGCCAGGAGCACCTGGCTATAAAATACAGGGTTTATTGAAACTGCTTATCAGGAAAGCTAGTGGGCCTACATGCACTGCCCTGCCGAGGTCTGGGGCATCGGGCAAAATAACTCAGGGCCTGGACGCTGTCCCTGAGCTTCTTTTGCTCAAGGCTAGCACTGTCCCACTTAAGCCACAGTGTCACTTTGGGCTTTTTCTGTGTACATTGTGCTAAGGAATCAAACCCAGGATTTCATGCATGCTAGACAAGCACTCTACCACTAAGCCACATTCCCAGCCCTACCAGTGATCTACTCCTCAGCATTATGCAGGAGTTCCAGGAAATACTGAACACTACGCGGAGGCCCCCTTTATCAGCCCTGATGGCCTTGGGGCGAGGCGTTTGTAGGTTAGACTACACAAGCAATGACATCATCACCTTAGCTAACTTTGTCCTCAGATGACCAGTCTTCCAAGGAACAGAAGTACACAAGCAGGAAGCAAGTTTTCTTCTAGATAACACTCTAGAGAGCCCCAGTTGCCAGTACGCCCTCCAGATAACCTTGCAATGTTCTGGGCTCAACTGGTCATTGTCCCTCTGATTTAGCAACTGCCTGGCAACATACAGGGGCCTTCCAAGGACAGGAACTTGATCATGAACCCCTATACTTTCCTCAAGCATCCGAACAGTTCTCCAGTGCTATGCGAAGGCAACATCAACAAATAACATTTGTAGCTGGCCTGGTATCCCAGGCCTGTCCTCCCAGACTGAGGGAGAAGAATTACAAGCCCATGGTCAGTCTGAACTACACAGAGAGTCCGTCTTGAAGAAGAAGAAAAAATGCTTTTCTCATCTCCACG